CCTTAGATATTTACTATATCCTTGGTGGATATCCTCAAGATATCTATAGGATTGTGTTGTGTTATATGGGTTGTAGCTGCTTTTTGAAGTAGAACTCCACATATTATGCCTTTTAAAATGAAAAGATCTTTTGAAAATAATCGTTTTATGCAGTTAACAGAAAAGGAACCATTTTGAGCATTTCATTTCATCTAGCTAATTTTTGTCACAATTATAGGTTTATCTCTTTTAATGCTGTAATAATTAAAATATGTTTTAAACGTGTAATCTTTTTATTACCGTTGAGAATTTTACTCTACATCCTTTAATTTTTGTTAAATTAATAAAAGGTATATCACCAGCCACCTATATAGATTTTTTCAAATAATAAAGACCCAAGTGCTGACAAAAAATCATAAAAATTAAAATATCTAGGAGAATCGTTGTCTGAGGGGTAGGCAACCTTAATAATGTTTTGAAGATATATGAATTCCCCTTTGAACACCGGAATAATATACTGGGTGTTCCATTTAAAATATAGGACTAACTTACTTTTAAAAGCGACCAATGTTTCATATTAATTTTGTCTCACCCTGTATAACTTTACGGGTCAAATTTGGTTTAACATACAATGGCTATTGTAATTAAATATCAAGCTATATGGGGTAAATTAAGATTTAGGTAGATGTTATGGAAATTTAAATTTACTCTTCATTTTTACAAAATGTGGAATATGTCAAAATCCTTACTGTTTAGAGATATGCTTTTTTAATAAAACTCACCTTTATTTCTTTCCTAGAATCCGAAAATCAATTAATATATAGGGTGTTCCATTACAAAAAACAAAATTCTGATGTGTAACTTTTTTTGGGGACACTCTGTATAACTATATATTTGTATAAAATGCTTTCAGATAACCTAAATATGCTCCCAAAATTTCATTTCGATATAAACTACCGTTCTCCTTGGAGTCACCGAGTCGTATGAGGGGCGCCACCCTGTAGGGTAAGGGTGATAATTTGTTAAGCTGAAATGGGGAATCGCTCTTAGAGAAAAAATACTTAGGAAGTACACTTTATCAGGAAGATCTTAAATCTGATTTGTGTGAGCACAACTCATAAAAATCTAAAAAACATATGGGAGGATTTGAAGGGAAACCAGAATAATATCCGGAAAATTGGCTGAAAGTAGATCACCGAAGGGGAGACTGCTCGAAAAAGCAATATTTTTTTAGTATATTGTTGGTTTGGTTATTAACACGCGCTCCAAGTTTTAACATGGGGCAGACTGTGAGTCCGCACCTATAAAAAGTTATTTTAATGAAAATTAAAATGCCGAAGAATGTAGTAAATAAAAGACAACTTTTATTGAATAATTTTCACTTAATCCGTTTTATTTAAAACATATTCTATACAGTTTTGAGAGCTATATTCTAAACACATCAATTTTCAAAATATTCGCAAGTGTACCGGAAGGTTAACAAAAATCGACATTTCGATGAATTTTTATTTCGGCCAATTTTGTGATTCGGTGAATTTTTTTTCGGGCAACTATCGTTTCGGGTAATTTTCTTTTCGGTCAGTTTTCGTAAATCCAACCAGAATAATACCTATTGTCTCATTCTGCCTCACCTCTTAGAGGGTAGCCACCCCAATTTCTTTTAACACAAACCTATATTATGTAGAATCGTTGAAAAACTTTTGAGTCTCATACAGGGTGTTTCGAAAAACATGTGCCATCTCTTGTGGAGAGATTCCTCTAGTAAAAATAAAATTTATTTTTTATATCAACATGGGTCCGATTCTGCTTTGTTTCGTAGCTACGTTAACGTCTTCATCTTTATTCGATTTATTATAGTTTTCTTCCAAGTGCTTTTAGCGATTCGAATGAAATTGTGTGGTAAAAGTTACTACAAGTGCGACATATTTAATGCTAAGAAAGTGTCGACATATTCACCGGGGATGTACATATTATGGGTTATCACTGGAATATTTTTCTAAAAAATACGTGCGCCAATGGCTTTCTTTTCTCTTGTCCATAAAATTGTGTAGACCGTCAAATGCTGATTAAAAACTGTCTCTTGATATTTTGTCGATTTCGGTCCTTGATGAGATAAACACAATTTAATTAATTTGCCTTAATTCTATTCTAATAGCAACCTTTAAAAAACTTTAAAGCCAATAACTGGCCAAAATGTTAAATAAGTACTTATTGATTCCTCATCAAAAAATATGAAAAAAGTTCCTATAAACATGGGTATGGAAGTGCATACTTTTAAAGTTACAGGATCCACAAACATCCATATCGTTATATTGTGATTAGTAAAATTTTTCGTTTATCTCATCGAGGAGAACGAAATGGACAAAATATCAAGAAACAACTTGTAATTGACATTAAATGGCCTACGGCGTACATAATTTTGCTAATAATTTAGAAAAAAAGTCAGTGGCGCACATGTTTTTAGAGAAAAATATGCCAGTAATAACCAATATGCACGTCCCTGGTCAATCTGACGACACTTCTTTTAGCGTCAAAATATGTAGCATTCAGAGTAACTTTTGTTACCTTCTAAATTTTGTTTGAATCGCTAAAAACACTTGGAAGAAAATTACAATAAATTGAAAAAAAATGAAGACTTTAAACCACCTGTAGGTACGAAACAAAGCAGAATCGGACCCATGTAGATATGAAAAATACATCTTATTTTTACCTGAGGAATCTCCCCACGAGACATGGCACATGTTTAATAGGAATATAATATTCTTAATAATCTGATCTAAATAATAATAATCTTAATAACAACTAAAAGTTAAGAGGCAACAAAGTAATGATTTTTAAATGTCCAGAGTGCGGAAGAGAGATAACACGTATCGGGCTTTTCAGTCACAGAAAAGTTCATGAAAGAAAACGCTCTGCGTCACCAACTTCTGATGCGTGTCTACTCGTCAGTGAGTAATAATCACAGTAAGTAAGGTAAATAAATCAGGGGTTTTAAAAGGAATGCATGTTTTTTATTAGAATAGTGGACAATAAAAGTATTATTATAAGGACTTTACTTTCCAGTTTTAAACTGTTGAATAATCTCCATCGATACGTCTCGTGTTTTTCCTTAATTTTGTCACAAATAGTGTAGATACACTAACTTTGGTGGGTGAGGCAGATAAAAATAAAACAAAAAGTTTCTATAAACATATGCTCTAAAATACTACCTGAAGAAGTTACAGCCCTTGAAAGGCTGAATAAAAATAATATATTTTGTTTATTTTTAAGAACATCGGTAAACGATTTTTTCTGAAATTTAGTACTCTTACACACATTTTAATGCCAAAGCAAATGGCGATTGTGAAAAAATCAGTAAAAGCCCTGAAAGGGTACTTTCCATTAGAGTAGAGAGTACTAATGGTGGTACTTCTTTTACCATTAAAGTTACAGTAATTTCAACAAATGATATAGAAAAGCCAGAACTTTTTTACGTAAAACAGGTACCGTAAAACGGGGCTACTTCGGACAGTTTTTGAGGTTTGTTGTAAGTTTCTTGACCTAAGTGTGTTCAAATTCAACCAATATTTTTTGTGTGGGTTACTACATCCTTCCCCTATGTCTAACTAAAAAAATATGTTAAATTTTCTTTTTCTAACGTATACATTTTTTTGTTTGAAAAGGGTCCGAAGTTATCCCCATAGGTGGGGTAACAAAGTTGTACATAGGTGGGCTTGACAAAAATATAAGTTTAAAAAAAAAATCAAGTTCATTTTTTAATAAAAACTCAAAAAATTAATAACTTCAAACATTATTTAAGACATCCTGGATTCTTATCATGAATCCCCTTAGTATTATCCCCAATTGTGGATTTGGGAATCATATAATACTCGGCCGCCTCTCTTAAGGTTTTTCGCTTGGCTTTGACATCTTCTACTGCTTGCTGTAACCTCTCTGGTGAATAACTTTTTGTAGGGGCGACTCCCCAGTTGCTTTTTGTAACTTCGAACCATGTCCGAAGTTAGCCTTCAAAATATGATTTTTTTTCTTACGACCATCTGGAAAAAAAATTGAACGATTAAAAATCTTCAAATTACATAAAACATTTTCAGATAATATACCTACTGAATACTGGAAAAAGTACGACTTTATGAATAATAGGTTTAGTTGTACGCCAGCTACTTTTTCCACTTAAAAAAAAACAACAAAAATTGCATACTTTTATACGCCGGGCCCGCAAAACACTTGGTACTTAAGAAACGTCTGAGGGCAACTGTTTTAAACATGTTCCTGTCCATACGCGGCCGCTTTGATGATTTCGCTACCCTCCTCAATTTTTTTCCCTTTCAAGGACCCGTTGTCCGAATTTAGCCGTGCTGTCCGAAGTAGCCCCGGTTTACGGTACTCTTCGTTTAGTTCGAAAATGTAAACGGTTTGGATACGGAAGGCGTTCAAAGATTACGATGCATCAATTTAGTATCAGTGAAATGATAAAATGTAAAGAAATTTTAAATAAATTAATCCCCTGATTTTGCTAATGCTAAAAATGATGCATCGCAACCTTTAAACGCAAATATCTTCAAAACCGTTGAGCGAGAGAGAAAACGAAGAGCACCTGTTTTACATAAAAGAGTTCTACCTTTTTATATCATTTATTGAAATTACTGTAACTATAAGGATAGAAGAAGTACCACCAGCAGTACTCTCTACCCTAATGGAATATACCCTTTCAGGGCTGTTACGGAATTTTACACCATCGTCATTCGCTTTCGCATTAAAATGTGTAAGTGTACCAAATTTCAAGAAAAACGGTTTACCAATATTCTTAAAAATAAACAAAATATATAATTTTTATTTAACTTTTGGAGGGCTGTAATTTCTTCGGGAAGTATTTCAGGGCATATGTTCATAGGAACTTTTTGTTTTATTTTTATCTGTAGAATCACTCACCAAAGTTAGATTTATATTTTATTAGAGACTATTTTTTTGAGACCCTGTATAATGTACTATAGAACATAAAAGTTAAATAAAAATGCATCGAATATAAATTATAAATTTATTTTGAAATAAAAACGTTAGCATTATAGACTGAGTACTGTTGGTTTAAATTTATTTTATTAACTATAGAACGGTGTGCAAAAAATTCCTAATTGTAAGTCATATATCTCGGTGTAGCAGAGAATTTAGCATAGGATTTGATTACTTTATTAACAGCTTCAAGGAAGTCTTTTTCTGTAGCTACTTTCCTCCTTGCTCGGATCGCAAACATCCCAGCCTCAGTGCATACCGATCGGATTTCGGCGCCGGTAGAATTTGGACATAATCTGAAAGTAATATCAGTTTAATAGATAGCACTAATAAATATTTACCTGGCATTATAATTCAATGGCTTAATGATAATATATATTTGATACCAATTAAACTTTTAGTTACGTAATCGAGGGCGCAAATTTTTAAATTCATTGTTGCCAACCATGGACGTATTTGGCGCAGGGCTGACTAACTGGAATTTACATTTCCTGCTGAGGATTTAGGTAGTAGCTCTGCTGTAAAAAATGTCAAGTTGTCACATTTATTTATTTATTTCCCGACACTGTCATTCGATTTGACACTTTAGTTTTGTTTGGTTTTGTATTACGAGTTTTTGCTTCAAATAAATAGTGTTGTGATATTTAAGCTTAAAAATGTTCATTAGCAGACCTTGCAGTCGAACATTGTTCTTTAAAAAGAAACCTTCTAAAGAACCTCTTTTAGTGCGAAGTGTACAAGATAGCTTAATAGCCGTAAAAAACTCATCGCAACTTTATTAGAATATTTTGAACGGGAAAGCGGTAGTAATGGCTCTTCATGTACCCTAAATGCTGTTAAGAAGGTGAGTTTTGTTGATGTACATAATAACTGTTTATATATTTATAATTCAATTATTTTTGTTTCCTCAAATATTTTGATTAAATGAAAATATGTAAAAGTAGGCAACGCTGTGCCGGTCAAGCTTAATCACGTGACTAAAAGTTTTTATGATATGAATTATATATATTTATTAATAGCTCAATTTAGCTTAATTTCTTCAACTGTTATATTTCATAAATTATGCAGAGATTCTTGGGAATGCAGTTCAGTTTAAATAATAGACAATATGTCATATTCTATATTATATCTATGTCACATCTCATCACATCTGTCATATTATATTTTTCCAATAATTTAGTTGCAAAAACGTTTTAACCACAATCTGGTCTTCATCAGTTTGTCCACATATCATATTTATAAAATGCAAATCTACACACATACACTCATCGCCAAAAAAAACGGCCACCAAATACTAGTCCCAATTTCAAAGTTGGATTTCTCGCGAACCACTCATTAGATTTTGATGATTTTTTTTAAATTGTAAATTGATTCTTTCTTAACGGATGCTACGTCAGAAATTTTTATTCACAATTTATTTTGAGCATATACAGGGCACAACAATAAGACGAAGTTTTTTGCTCGAACTTTGTAACACTTTGTAGGATGCAGCAGCTGTAGTAGCTATTGCTAAATCAAATCACATTGTAGCCTTATCTTTTGTGAGCATTTTATTTTTTTAATCACGATATTATCTCCGTTTGGATTGGAGCTACGCTGCTTTAAAAAACAAACGCCTCGAAAAAAGATTTAGTCCATTGCTCAATATCCCAATTCAATGTAAACACGCAAACTGAAGACGTGCTCGACGATGTCTTGGGAGTAGTTGGGGTCCTGAGGCAGGCCTCCTTGCAGACAAGCTGTTTTCTTTTAGTCTTCGTCGGATTGTTCCCTCACTGACTTGAGTTTTACGCACGGCTTGTAGCAGATGTTGATTCTGAAACGCTGTAATTCTACGATTTCGTAAAGTATTCAGGACAATAAAGCGGTCGTTAATTGCATTTTTCTTCCGTTTTCTTCAGGAACCCACTCGCTTGGTGAAATTTCCCGTTTCCATATACCGATTCCAGGCATCCTGGACTACTGTTCGGTAAGCAACGTTCGTTTTAAAGCAGCGTATCTCCAATACAAACAGAGATAATGTGATTAAAAAAATAAAATGTTCACAAAAGATGAGGCTACAATGCGATTTGATTTGACAATAGCTACTACAGCTGCTACACCCTACAGGGTGTTACAAAGTTCGGACAAAAAACTTCGTCTTATTGTTGTGCCCTGTATATGCTCAAAATAAATTGTGAATAAAAATTTCTGACGTAGGATCCGTTAAGAAAGAATTAATTTACAATTTAAAAAAAAAACATCAAAATCTAATGAGTGGTTCGCGAGAAATCCAACTTTGAAATTGGGACTAGTTTTTAGTGACCGGTTTTTTTTGCTGGTGAGTTTAGTTATACAATAACAAAATATAACTCACAACGTATCAATCCTAACAATCAATCCTAATTTATATCATATGCTAACATACCAAATCGCGTTTATTTATCAGAAGAAAATAAAAGTTATAGGGGCAAACAACTCTTAAGAAACACCCGGTATATTATGATCTTGGCCATAGAAAATAATACCTTCTTTATAAATAAATAAAATCAGAGAAAAAATTAAATCGCAGTTTACTATAAATTGCTCCAATGGACCACAAAATTACATTCGCAACAAAATCCAACAAAATTCAAACTCGCAGAAAGAAGGTTATCACGGTCCTAGTTATTAACTATGTATAGTAATATTGGTTGCCTAAATTGAAACTCGCAAATAAAAGAAATCATAGTCGCAGGTTCCTATGAGAGGCAATCGAATCGAAACGCGATTGCGATTGTTGCTCATCGCTACTTAATACAAATACTTACCTAGCCAATAACTCGAATCGAATATCCCTTTCAACGCTCATGGATCTAGCGTGAATTTTAAAAATATGACTCCTTCCCTCTAAATCAGGTAATCCAAATTCCACCTTCCTATCCAACCTTCCCGGCCTCATTAGTGCGGGATCCAATGTGTCGGGTCTATTAGTAGCCATCAATACTTTAATGTTGCCTCTTGGATCAAATCCGTCTAATTGATTAATAAGTTCCAACATAGTACGTTGAACCTACAAGATAAATTATATAGTAATTAAACAAAATACAGTTTATTCAATGGACCTCATTATCGCCCCCTGCGCCATCGTCGAAACGAGCACCTCCGATGGCATCGATTTCATCGAAAAATATTAAGCACGCTTTCTTAGATCTTGCCATCTCGAACAGCTCTCTAACCATTCTCGCGCCTAAAATACAAAGATATAAAAGGTATAAAAGCAGAACATCTTCTGAATTTGGCTAGTGTTCTCAACGTTCAGCCCACTTTTAATAAGGGCCTTATTCAGGCTAGTTGAAGAACAAGAAAATACAAATTTTTATCGCGTATACTTTTAAGTAAAATTATTAAATGCATATTATTTATACAGGGTGTCCCAATATTCCGTGGACATAGAACTAATACGTATTTCTGGAATCAAAGTATGTTCATTGGACACAATTTACCTCTATACAAAAGTGCTTTGTTTCTCCATTAGAGAGCATCAAACTTTAAATCAAGAAAAAGTACGGGAAGGGTGAAAGGGGTAGCGGTTTCACCCCTACTTAAATTTTAGTATAAATATTTTTCAACCCCATCAACGACCGATTTTTTTTCTTGTAAAATGGTCCTTCTAAAATTTACATTTTTTGTCTCTTGTAAAAAAACACCACTGCATATACTTATTGAGGAAAGAAAAAATTTCCTAAGCTGACTTCCAAAAAATGTTTCTTGTTACATCAAGCTATGTAAGTGCATAAAGTCTACCGGGTGCGTCTCGGAAGTGGATCACCCCTATAACTTTTTTTATATTTTCAGATAAAAAAACGAGATTTGGTATGTTAGTATATGAGATAAATTAAGATTGATTGACGCATTCAATTATTTTTGGTCACTTACTATTTCATCGGAAATGACTACAACTTTTGATTTTTAAATGGCATCATTGGAATTCTTTTACTTTATTCAATAGAAAATGACACTCTGAATAGAATGACATATTATATGTGAACTTTTGACATTTTCGCTTTAAAAAACCTAAATCGTATTTTAAATTTCAATCTAGAGTCCCGTGGCTGTGTTAAAAACACTAATTTTTAATCAAGGCCTTGAAAAAATAGTTTTGGTCGTCTATTGTTTTTCGTGTCTTGATCTGGCTGGTTAAAAGATACCCAAATCGCATTTGAAATAATTCCTCAATTTTTTCAAATGAAAAAAGGGTGGCTCATAAGCATTTTTGGAAAAAGCATTTTTTAATAATAATTTGGTATCACACACTTGGTATTTCGAGTCAAGTTGTCGTTATCAAGCGCATGTTACAATTTGAAGTAAACCATACGCAAAAATGTCAAAAGTTGACATATGATGTACAGGGTGTCCCAGAAATGAGTGCAAATATTTTAAGCTTTACCATTTTTAAAATAAATTGAAAATAACCGAGTTATTTAACTTTGAAAATTTAAAAGAATAATCGCAACATTTTGAGAAGCGCCGGCAGATATCACCAACTACATCCAATTTCCCGGATCAAGCCCGAATTTCACGTAATTTGACGCATGTGTTGCCATATTGACAAGAAAGTATATGTTTAAAAATAAGTCATCAAATCACAACACCTGAGGAATTTGCAAAAACGCATTACATTTTTAAGATTGTGATATTATTACATAAAATAAATTAAAAGTTAAATGTTTAAATGTTAAAAAAGTTAAATTAAAAAACTTACCCAACATTAAAAAAGATATACTTATGACAGATCCATGTAACTGTGACAATTCTCTTTTTCGATACACACTTAACTAAAATACACTTCACTGTGCTGCTTTTTTTTCCATAACAAGGGGCCGTCCTCTGCCGGAAACACTGCGACCTGTGAGGCCTATTGTGTTTGTCCCCCTTCTATATCTGCACCCATTCTCCTATCCCTGTGCCCTGCACTAGCTTATGCAGGTCCTTGATAGGATGGGAACATAGTTCCTCCGGTTCTAGCCTAGCTTTCCCAAATAAAGAGTGTCGCTTGCGATCTAGAGCCTCGCAATGACATATTATGTGCTCCGCTGTTTCAGGATCTTTATCGCAGAGTCTGCAGCAAAGACTTCCTTGATACAGGTTGAGCTTGTTCAGATAATACTTGACAGCCATGTGTCCTGTCAAGGGGCCTGTTGTAATCCGCACTTTATTCCTGCTAAGCATTAGCAGTTCTTTTGCGGTTTTAGAGCTAGGTCCTTGGATAAAAGCCTTGCTGTGCCTGTGCCCCTGTCTGTTTCTCCAGTGGACATTGTGGTTTTCCTTGATCCAGAGTGCACTACGGGCCATACATTTGGGTATTCCCAGTACTGGCTCTGGACCAAGATAGGATGCCGATGATCCCTGCCTAGCTAGCTCATCGGCTTTTTCGTTGCCTTGGATGCCGCTGTGGCCCGGCACCCAGAATAATTTAATTCTGTTCCTTCGTGCCAGAGCTCCCAGTTCACCCAGGCATTCCCAGACGAGTCTCGACGATACTTTTGAGTTCATAAGCGCCCCAAGTGCCGCCTGACTGTCTGAGCATATATTGATGAGCTTACCTGAATAAGCTCTTCTTCTTCTGTTTTCTCTTGCACATTGTAGAATGGCGAAGATTTCTGTCTGGAATACGGTTGAGTATTTACCCAAGGAAAAGGATAAGCTTGCCCTTGGTCTTTCCCCAAATACTCCAGCTCCTGTTCCTTCAGCGGTCTTTGACCCGTCTGTATACCAGGTTAGTCTATCCTGAAGGAATGTTATATCTATCCACGTTCCTCGATCCATTTTGTTCACCTCGAATGGTTTGTTCCCGCGGGCTTTTCTAGTTTAATTTTATTAGGTTAGCAACTTGCAGCCATGCTGACGCAATGCCGCCTCTAATAGAACAGCCTCGGAGCGAGATTTATGACGTCACGCTAGTTAGATACTACAGATTAATAAATATGTTCTAGAATACATGGAAAACATAATTATTCCTCGTATTTTTGGTTTGTATTTTAAAAATGATATACATAGTTTCTATGAAATATACATAATGTACAGTTAATAAATACAATATATATACCTATTTATAGTAATAAATAAATAAACTATGAACCATACAAATGCAGCAAATGTTTTGCAATATACAAATAATGAATAGGTATATAAGATAATGGGTAAAATGTAAAATATATTTTAAATTTTGTGGTTTGAAAATCGATCTAATTTAACAAAAAAACATTCAATATCTACTAATAGTAATGTATTATTATTTGCATTCACAAAATTTATATGTATATTTTGCAAGTATCAATGTTCGAAAAATTATATTTGCAAATAATACAATATCATAGAAAAAAAGGCGTCAGTGATGGCTATGAAATGATCGCTGTCATTTTATATGTAAAATTATTCTAAAAATTTTGATTTTCTTGGGATTTAGGTTCGGGAAAAACGCTGATTATTATTATAAAAACGCTGTTTTCATTTGGTTTTTCATTATTTTTATTGGTTTAAAAAAACGTTTTAGTATAACCAAAAATACGAGGAATATTTATGTTTTCCATGTATTCTACAACATATTTATTAATCCGTAGTATCTAACTAGCGTGACGTCATAAATCTAGCTCCGAGGCTGTTCTATTAGAGACGGCATTGGTCTGATAATTAGAAATGTCAAAAGCTGATGATATTTTACTTTTGACAATTATGACATTTCGTGTTGATTTTTGCAAGAAGAGTAAGAACTGTCACTTGTTTTATTATTTTCCTTTTCTATTTCACGAAAGTAAAGAGAGTTACCTATCTGATTCATTCAGGCACTCAATTTAAAGAATATCAGTAACTTTTTTGACATAAGGATTTTATATTTGCCGTGTTGGTAAAAAATAAACGGTCAAAATTCAAAGTTATTCATTTTATAGATTATATGATGAATCATTTTATTAAATTTATTCCAAAATAAAGTTATTTTGCAGCATAACAAAGATTTTCGTAAACGTCATAAACGTAATGTTTTAGTTAATTTTCGGTGATTTTTGTTAAGTTTTTATTGAAAGGGTAAGTACTAAAAATAATTAATGTTTTTTTAGCACTGATAAAAGATTAAATTTAACATTCCTAATTTTTTGAGTAGAAATTTATCTATGAATTTATAAATGTAGAACCATGTAGAATGTGGATAACATAGGAGGTTGCAACACCGCAATGTTTAGATACACCGTAGAGAAATCTCAGGTGCATAAACAAGTGGCACTAAAAAGTTTTTTCAAATTTCCTGAAACATGTCAAGAAAAATTTTAAATTTTCAACATTTTTTTTCGCAAAAAAACCTCATAGGCGTGTTTCTGGGTTAAACTATACTACCAGTTAAAATATTTGCACCTATTTCTGGGACACCCTGTATATCATTCTATTCAAAGTGTCATTTTGTATCAAATAAAGTAGAAATGAATAGAGTGCCATTTAAAAATCAGAAGTTGTAGTCATTTCCGGTGAAACAGAAAATGACCAAAAACAATTATATTTATTATTATTGTATTAAATATTATATAAAACAAAATCCATCCTAATTTATGTCATATACTAACATACCAAATATCGTTTTTTTTATCTGAAAAAATAAAAAAAGTTATAGGGGTAGGGGTGAGCCACTTTTGAGACGCACCCAGTATTATGCACTAATAATCTAGTTAGCGAAACTATGGAATTTTATGTTAGTATCACAAATGATATTTGACAATGCGCTTTATAAAAAGCTTAAGAAAATAAATTAATTAACATTCGAGTTTATTTTTGATTGACGCCCTCTAACGGAGCAACTAAGCAGTTTTGTATAGAGTTAAATTGTGTGCAATTAACTTATCTTGATTCAAGGGATACATAGTTGTTCTATGTCCACGGAATATTGAAACTTTCTGTATATTTTGTAAGCCTACTTTCTCTTCGAAAAAAATTCTCCAAAAATTTTTTCTTCTCAAAAACTAAGTGATGTTTTGAGCGTTTTTTTACAAGAGACAAAAATGTAGTAAATACTAAGAAGACCATTTTAAAAAACAAAAATTAGATGTCGGTGTATAGTTGGAAAATATTCCTAATAAATTTTATGTGTATGGGTGAGGGTAGTTTTTACTCTTCCTGTACTTGTTCTTATAATTTATGAAAGTTAAATGTAACAGCGCTTATCAAAACATAAGCACCTCAAATCAGAGTCAGTTCACTTCAGGAATATCAGTTCTTAAAATATCTAAAAAAATGTGTTTATTGATGCTCTCTAGCGGAAAAACAAAGCACTTTTGTATAAAGGTAAATTGGGTCCAATGAACCTATTCTGATTCCAAAAATACGTAGTAATTCTATGTCCACCGAATATTAGGAAACCCAGTATATTATCAAAAACCAATTATTTACATTCTCTTTTTACCCTAAGAATATAGTTCAAAACAACCTTTTAATTTATGAAAAGATTTAGAATCAAGCTACTAATAGAATCAAGCTACTACTAAGTATTAATTATTGTTTTATTCTACCTTCGCCCACATATTTTTGAACCAATTCCGATCCAATAACTCTGATGAAACAGGCATCAGTACGATTGGCCACAGCACGAGCACAAAGAGTTTTTCCAGTTCCGGGAGGTCCAAAAAGTAAAACACCCTTTGGAGGTTCAATACCAAGCTTTACAAATTTTTCCGGCTAAAAATGGGATATATTTATTATCAAAATTATCAAAGAGCGCAAAATATACATACATGTAAAAGAGGTGTTTCTACAACCTCTCTTAGCTTTTCAATTTGTTCTTTGCAACCTCCCACATCACTATAAGTAACATCCGGTTTTTCTTCAACCTGAAAAATAAATACATTTTCCAATTCTATTTTTTTCATAAAATACTAAGAATATCAGCAATGAAAGTTAATCTTAAATATTTAAAAATTAGGAAATATTTGTTTTATTTAAAAAGCAAATTGACAACAACAAATTTCTCTCAGCAGCCCCTGTTAATTTTACAGCCATAAAACATCCCCCTGTCCTCGTCTGTCATGTTAAGAAATGAAAGTAAATAATAAAGCGCCTCTCGTGTTTATTCGCATATTAAAAATTTCAATTAATGACTGTATATATTCTTAATATATTTTTTAAATTTACATTTTTTTAATTTTAAAGTAATATATTACATTTAAATGGAATATATTACCTTTGTTTATATATTCTTAAAGGTGTTCAACCGACTAGACAAAATGTGCTGCCAACTGGAGGACAAATCGTAAACCTTTCGGGGCGGAGTCAAAAATATCGATTATTTTCGTTATTTTCCTCAGAGTAATGTAATAATATAGCCCCACGGGTTTCTGCGAACTTTAATAGTGACCAGCTGATTAAGAAATTTAAATGAAACTTTTATTTTATTGTGAATTGTGGATTATTTTTGTCTGTTATTTTAAGAATTCTAAACAGTATTAACAAAGAAATTATTATTTCGATATGTTGGTATATTATTTATAATAATTTATGATAATGCTAATTGCTGTTAATTAATATTTAAAAAAAAGTTACATACCTATTTTAATTTGATTTAATGCAGGTTTATAAAAGATTCATTTCATTCTTAGATTATTTTATTCTAAATTAAGTGCTTTACGAATTTTACGATATTTTTTTTTGAAAACATAAAACTTTTTACATTTTTGATGCCAACTAATTGGCACGGTATTATTGGTATGGAAATTAGCCAAGAAAGAAAAGTATTGGCTATAACTTGTAATTTTTCGAAAAAAACATATTAAGTATACCTATATCGCTGAAAAGCTTAAAAAATGGCGCTTTTTATGCAGTCATGGCCAACTATGGTTTCCATTTAAAAAAAAACATAATGTTTGTGTCATATGTCAAAAATGACAGGCTTTAGAAAAAAAAACAGAAAACACAAACTCGTATTAGGTATGTGATTATCTACAACTTTTATCTGAAAACTTTTTGTCTAAAATACCGTATGATCGAATAAAAACCGCGTCAGCGATGGCTATGAAGTGACGATCGATGATATTTCCCATATAATTTTACATATAAAATGACAGCGATCTTCATTTCAAAGCCATCGTTGACGCCGTTTTTATTCGATTATACGGTAGATTATAATGGAATTAGAGACAATTTTTAAAATAGCCAAAATTTGTTTTTTTCGAAATATCTAATAAGCCTTGAACTTCTCCGAAAAATCCGAAAGGCGCATATTTATGACCCCACAAAACTGCAATTCTTTCCCCATTTAACCGACTCTCTATCTTCAGTCTCCAGTAGTATCCGAGATACCCATAGAGAACATCATAGGAAACTCACCCTGTATAGTATTTAGAAACTAACTATTATTATTATTTGACTAGATTAATTTGATTAATAAGTCTCGATTAATTTAATTTAAAATAAATTTGATCAGATTTTTTTTTCGTATATTCTACCAGAAAACCAAAATTATATGATATCACAATACTTAATAGAATTACTACAATTAGAAGAAAAACAAAAAGAAAAAATACCCAAATACCTTCACCTACTACTCATCTACAAAATAAACTAATATAATCTCTTATAAAAACACTACACAACTACTTCTTGTATTCTACACTGAAAAAATTATCAAACTTACTAATTAATCAAACAAAAAGATAAAATAACCAAATTATCCCTTTACCTACTACTTAACTACAAAATAATAAACTATAAAAACACTACTAAACTATTTCTGGTATTCTACACTAAACATTATAATTAAACTTAATAAAATTAATCTAATTTTACACTACACTACAACCACTACAACTACAAAGAAATAACAACATTTTTTAAAACTAGAAGAAACAGAACTTCGATTCGTGCAACCAGTATAATAGATCAAGCGGACAAAGAATATAAAATACTTTAAAAATGTGCATTCAGAAAGAAAAAATATCTCGAAAATTATCTAAACAAACATTTTTTTCTTATCGGTGAAAAGCATCGGCCTCGTCGGCCTTGCGGAATTTGTCGGATATTTACAATGGTCGAATTGTATAATTACCAGCTTTTATAGCATATCTAATAGATAAAAAGTATCTGGTCGATTAGTAACCAATTGGCACAGTCCGAAAATTATCGATTTTTATTTTCTCTGTTTTTATTGGTCGCTTCAAAATTCAGAGTAACAAAAAATATTTTTCTGTAGTAAAAGACCGTGAAATACGCCCCGCCATCTGGTGCTTTACATCCATAAACGTCTTAGGTTGAGCTACTTTAAAAATTCATATACTAGGATATTACATAACAATTATGTCAATTACAGGATTACAAGCTTGTTTTCTAACATTTTCTAAATAAAACGAATTATAAAATTTCCATATATGTATATCTGTCATAGGTCTGAAAAAGTAAAATATAAGATGGACAAACGCTTACTTACATTGCAATAAAACTTCCTCTTTTAATTTTGCAATCCAAACGCAATATTTCTATTTCACAAATAAAAATATCCGACAACACTAAAATCACTGAAACTTCCGCGGCTGACAACAAAAACTGAAAAATATAACGGCACTTTTTGTTTTGGACCTGCATATCAACATTACGCTGTACCATTATGTTTTTGTTTTTGAAATAATATAAAATATCTAATAATTATAAGTTGTAAACTTTAATATTTTAACAATTTTAACATGATTTTAACTATGTCTGACAATAACTAACTTTTTGTTATCAAGATGACATTTTAGACGGCAACTGACATACATGTCATAATATTTGAATTTTAAATATGTATGTAATATAATTTATAAATTAATATAATGCAACTTTAAACTAAGAAAACATTTACACATTCACAAAATACAACAAAGTCTAATAATATATTTTGAAAGCAATGAATATTGAATTAAAATTAAAAAAGTTAAGCGCGACCCCTTGTGTCAAAATTAGATGATTAAATTTTCGCAATTTTTACACCATTGATGACCGTTGGCACCGCTTTGGGAGGTTGGTCTTTTAATCCCGCTTATGGCCATTAAAGAAAAAGTTCTAAAGGGGGATGTTTTGTGTTTACAACAAAGTTGTAAAAAGGTTTATAACACATATGCCAAATTTGAACAAATGTAATAATTTGACCAAATGCCAACATCCTCTAAGGAATCCTATAATTTTGTCAATGTCAAATTGTATTTTCTAAACGTTAGGATTTTGCTTCATTCGAACCAATTTTAAACTACAAAATTACATTTCAGGACAATAACCTTAGGTACTATAATGTAGCAGACAGCATAACAAATTGCATTTGACAATGATAAAACCATAGGTTGACAACTTAAGGTATGTTTCTGACATTTGACAGATTTAGCAGTGTTACCTGTTCAGGTTTAATTTAAAGATAGATGCAGTTTTTCTTAAATTATTTAAAATCAGCTTGTTCAAAATTGTTCAATTTGGCATGTGTATTCAGCATAGGAAGACATTGAAAATACCCAAGTATTAATGACTTAGCTGTAAAATTAATAGGGGAGCCAATATTTGGACAGTTCAAATTTGCATGGGATTTCCTATGTTTTCAATGACAAAGCACCACCAATAAATAAATAGTATAAAATATCTCACCTGCATCATAGTTACTGTTGGGTCGATTTTTGGTGGTAACGGAATATGTATCTGATACTTGTTACGATCAACTCTAAAATTGATTTAGGTATAGACAAATATATAAATAAAAAATTCTAACATACCCCACTCGCATGCCTTCCTCAATATCTGTCGGTGCTACAGAATCTGCTAAATCAACTACAAACTTTGCAAACTGTTTTACATTAATAATATACTTCGGATCATCAGTATCAGCATTTATAATTTTGGTGCATCTAGCCACTTGAAGAGGTTGTTCATTCTGAAGTGTCTATAAAAAGAAATGTGGTATATAGTAAGATACTATATGAGAATGGGTAACAAAATATATACTTACTTGCTTATCTGCAGCCAAATCCCATAAAGCTGGAGGTGCCAGTCCTGTATCAGATTCTTTAATACCTGTTAGTTCATTAACTCTCTTAATGATGGTTTGAATATCATCTTCAACTGTCTTAATAGTTTTTGTATACTGGCCCTGTCCCTATAGAGATAATAAAAGAAATTAACAGTACAGAGAAAAAAATACATTTTATTATACTTACATAGGTTTTGAGAAGAGCAATATCTCCTTCGTCCAGAGCTAAAAATTAAAGATTATAATGTGTTTCGAATAATCACAGGCATTTAATATTTCTTACACTTTATTTCTTTTTCTTCTTGTTCTGGCTCATTTTTAATTTTTCTCATATCGTCTCCTAAATGATCAGGCATTTTTGTAAATTGATAATATGAATTAATAAATTAAAGATTTTACTGAAAACAATATTATTCTTATATGCTTTGTTTAAAAGGATTTATAACATTACAAGCACTTTTGAAGTTGAAGATGATTTGACAGATGACACTTCAACCATACTTCAACTTCAAAAAGACAGGTTAGAATTATGTTAGAGCTGTGTCACTAATAACGAACTAATTCAAAAGAACTATTCGATTGAAGTTTCGTTTGATGTTCCTCCTAGAAATGTATAGTTTAATTATCAGTTTTGTTATGGATGATAATTCTTAACAAAAAAAGAAACTACTTAAAATAGATAAAAATACCGTATGATCGAAAAAAAATGGCGTCCAGTTGGCTTGGAAATGACGATCGATGACATTTCCCCATCATTTCCGATATAATTTTACATTTAAAATGACAGCGATCTTCATTTCATAGCCATCGCTGACGCCGTTTTTATTCGATCATACGGTATTAGCCTTATTACTTTTTTTATTATTCTAAAGGGCACTAAATTAACATTATTAATTTAAAATAAGAGTAAAATGTTTAAAATAAAGAATTCAGCAATGTTTTAATGTGAATTTTAAATAACAATCAACTAAAATGCATATAAATACATCACAAAAAAATATATTTTTATTCTTATTATTAAAGGCAGACTCTCACGACTCGTGCACTACCGTAATTAGGTGAAGAGTTATTTTTTTTAAATTGCCCTGCAGGCAAAATTTTTTTTTGGCGCATTCACCATTTTGTCAACATTTTTTTTGTTATTATTTATACACTAATACCCTTGTATATGAATTTTTAAAGTAGCTCAACCTAAGACGTTTATGGATGTAAAGCACCAGATGGCGGGGCGTATTTCACAGTCTTTTACTACAGAAAATATTTTTTGTTACTCTGAATTTTGAAGCGACCAATAAAAACAGAGAAAACAAAAATCGGTAATTTTCGGACTGTGCCAATTTTTTACTAATCGACCAAATACTTTTTGTCTATTAGATATGCTATAAAAGCTGGTAATTATACAATTCGACCATTGTAAATACCCGACAAATTTCGCAAGGCCGACGAGGCCGATGCTTTTCACTGATAAGAAAAAAAAATGTTTGTTTAGATAATTTTCGAGATATTTTTTCTTTCTGAATGCACATTTTTAAAGTATTTTATATTCTTTGTCGGCTTGATCTATTATACTGGTTGCACGTATCGAGGTTCTGTGTCTTCTAGTTTTAAAAAATGTTCTTATTTCTTTGTAGTTGTAGTGGTTGTAGTGTAAAATTAGATTAATTTTATTAAGTTTAATCATAATGTTTAGTGTAGAATACCAAAAATAGTTTAGTAGTGTTTTTATAGTTTATTATTTTGCAGTTAAGTAGTAGGTGAAAGGATAATTTGGTTATTTTTTCTTTTTGTTTGATTAATTAGTAAGTTTGATAATTTTTTCAGTGTAGAAGTGGTTGAAGTAGTGAAGAAGTAGTTGTGTAGTGTTTTTATAAGAGATTATATTAGTTTATTTTGTAGATGAGTAGTAGGTGAATTATTTATAATAATTTATAATAATAATTAATTGTATGTATTTGGGTATTTCTTCTTTTTGTTTTTCTTTTAATTGTAGTAATTCTATTAAGTATTGTGATACATACACTCTATCTTCCTTCAACTTAGTTGAAAAGTGCGTTATCATATAATTTTGGTTTTCTGGTAGTAAAATATAGGAAGAAAAAATCTGATCAAATTTATTTTAAATTAAATTAATCGAGTTTTATTAATCAAATTAATCTAGTCAAATAATAATAATAGTTAGTTTCTAAATACTAAACAGGGTGAGTTTCCTACTATGGGTATGTCGGAAACTATTGGAGATAGAGTCGGTTAAATGGGAAAAAACTTGCAATTTTGTGGGGTCATAAATATGCGGCTTTCGGATTTTTCGGAGAAATTCAAGGCTTACTAGATATTTCGAAAAAAACAAATTTTGGCTATTTTAAAACTTTGTCTCTAATTCCATTATAATCTACCATATGATCGAATAAAAACGGCGTCAACGATGGCTATGAAATGAAGATCGCTGTCATTTTATACCTATGTAAAATTATATGGGAAATATCATCGATCGTCATTTCATAGCCATCGCTGAAGCCGTTTTTATTCGATCATACGGTATTTTAGACAAAAACTTTTCAGATAAAAGTTGTAGATAATCACATACCTAATGAGTTTGTATTTTCTGTTTTTTTTTCTAAAGCCTGTCATTTTTGACATATGACACAAACATTATGTGTTTTTTTAAATGGAAACCATAGTTGGCCATGACTTCATAAAAAGCGCCATTTTTTAAGCTTTTCAGCGATATAGGTATAATATGTTTTTTTCGAAAAATTACAAGTTATAGCCAATTCTTTTCTTTCTTGGCTAATTTCCATACCAATAATACCATGCCAATTAATTGGCATCAAAAATGTAAAAAGTTTCATGTTTTCAAAAAAAATTTCATAAAATTCGTAAAGCACTCAATTTAGAATAAAATAATCTAAGAATGAAATTATTCTTTTATAAACCTGCATTAAATCAAATTAAAATAGGTATGTAACTTTTTTTTAAATATTAATTAACAGCAATTAGCATTATCATAAAATATAATGTACCAACATATCGAAATAATAATTTCTTTGTTAATACGGTTTAGAATTCTTAAAATAACAGTCAAAAATAATCCACAATTTACAATAAAATAAAAGTTTCGTTTAAATTTCTTAATCAACTGATCACTATTAAAGTTCGCAGAAACCCTGGGCTATATTATTACATTACTCTGAGGAAAATAACGAAAATAATCGATATTTTTGACTCCGCCCCGAAAGGTTTACGATTTGTCCTCCAGTTGGCAGCACATTTTGTCTAGTCGGTTGGGCAACTTTAAGAATATATAAACAAGGCTAATACCTATAATATTTTCGTTTTAGTTTGGGCTAAAACGCATTAAGTAAAAAGAGATACAACCAGTTTTCGATAAACACATTATTTTGCATTCCAGTGAAAATATAATTAAACTTAATTAAAATACAGTGTCCACCATAAAGTTGGATCCATATGGACGTTTTTTTTTATATTAGAGTTTTAAAAAATCTTTTTGTGAGTGACTAACAAAATAATGTTTCAACTTTGACTTGGTGCATTTTAAGTTGTTTTTAAAGCAGAATTGATAGTCACAAAAAGTTTTTTTTAAACTCTAATACCATAAAAATAAATAAAAAAACCGTCCATATGGATCCAACTTTATGGCGAACACTGTAATTATTGAATGGCTTCTTCGAAAAACGTTGTAACCGACATTTTTTTCAAAATAGAGATTTCGGTGAAATAAGGTTGTAATTTTCGGTATAGGTGAGGGGTGTCTCACTTGGGTAAAAAATGTACATGTACTGCCAAAATATCATCTTTCTACCAAGCGACTGCCAATAACAGCCAAGAAGACTGCCTATGACTGTCATGTAATTATTATAGGTGACTGCCGTAAGACTGCCAATGACTGCCAGCGACTGCCAAGAAAATGTATATGTAATTCCAGTAGTGAGACACCTCTCGGGTATAGCGTTTTTTCCTCGTTTTTATCACTGAAATTTCGATATTGAAAAAGTTGTTGGTTACAACCCAGGAGCCATTCAATTATTATTCAATTATTACATTAATGTTTACTAAGCAATATTAACTAAAATAAATTTGACTTATAAGGTGCCCGGTGGCGTAGAGGTACAGGCTCTCGTCTACTCAAGGTAGTGGGTTCGAATCCCACACCCGGCATTGCATCAGCCGATTATTTTTATTAAAATAAGAATAGTTTGGGTACCTAGGTCGACTCAGCCTTAAATGAGTACTTGGGATTCACAATCCTGAGGTAATAATAGGCGGTTGAAGCGTAGTGCTAGCCACATTACCTTATTCCTTGTATACCGAACGGCTCGAGTATGGCAAGCTGTACCTTGCTACTCCCAAGGCGTTAAACGCTATATATACGGGAGCTATTATTATATAATTTGACTTATTTATATTACTAACCTTACTAATTTTTGTAAATCAGCTCAATTTTTCTGTTCTTTATATTGATGCAAACTTATGAGTAATATCGTCATTTAATTAGCTTATAGAGTCTAACGTTTTTTTCTAAAGCATCGGCTATTGTATTTTGATTTTTTTTTAATTTCTTAGCATTAACTGACATTTTAAATGTTCTGCAGAATCCCCGTGTTTATGCAAAGATCTTGTTATATTTACGAAATCAGTGAACCCTTCTTTATTCTAAATGTCATGTTTATTAGAAAATAGTAAACACAAGTAACAAAATAATTTTTGTAAAACAATACTACACATTCCTCAAAACATCCCTCTTATAAGAGGGATGTTTTATTTTCATCTGTCCACCGTCTGAAGGGAGTTTCCAATAAATTGCTAAACCAAGTCATTAATTGGGTTCATTTTTTAACACATACACACACACTAAACAGTTTTAAAATACAACAACAAAACAAACAGCAAAAATCGGCAGAAATTAACAAGTTAAATCAACAAAAGCCACCGTAGTTGAACTCTTATTCTAAAAAGTTTTTTTTTAACTGGAATAATAAATTATAATACAAGGTAGACAGACCTTCTGAAAATATCAAAAAATTTATTTTTTATTTTTATTTTTAGAATTTTCACAAATTATACTTCCTAACACTTTTAGAATAATTAATATAATACATTTTTCGTATACTTGCTATTTAAACCCGTAATATTTGTATATAGGTACTAGTTGTTTACGATATTCTCCGATGGTGGCAGCATCGGCGGCGGCGGAGAATGCACCAAGCCTATATACTTGCCATGTCGTGTGACCGGTTTACTTCGTTCACTTGGCATAGTTCACTTGGGCAATTAATGCAATTATTTGCAACACAAATGAATTTTCTCTTAAATCTTTGACTTAAATTATTTTATTTAAAGTTAAGTACGTAAAAAGACTTAAACCAATATAATTTCCCCAAGTAAAAAAGACAAACAGAATTCAATTTAAGGTACCTATTTTTTAAATGTTAATATTAATTTTCTTGTATTACCGATTTTCTTATCAATTGTATTATTAATTTATTGTAGGT